AATTGATTTGTCTCATTATTCTGTACATAAAAGTATTACGGTAAGATTATCGAAAACTAAATATTTTACGAGATATTTTATTTTTTATATCAAAATATGTCAGACTAAGATATAAAATAACTCGAAAAATACTTAATGAAAAAATACTTTATTACAGTGTTTTGAAAAACTCTCGAGGTAAACTACAAGAATATGTAAAGAAAAATAGAGGTTGCCATTTAAGAAATTGATGACAAATGACGCAATGCCGTTGATGCCTTTATCCAAAAATATAATACTACTAATTTTCCGATTTTCAAAGTCAAGGTTTTTTCACCTCTATTAAGCTAGCAGGACTAAATCAGAAGAATCAAATTGGACCTATTAGGTTATTTAGTGCCCATTTTGTACTAATTTGTACCACTAATAATAATTTTGTATTTCGTCCCATTTTTAAAAAAGTCATGGCGCTGCTATCTTCAAATTAAGCTAGCAAGACCAAACTAAAACAAAACGAAAAGATAAAAATAAGACTAGAAATCGAAAGGACTGAATTTTTACTAATTTGTACCATCCAAATAAACTTAATATATTTATCCCTTCTGCTTAAAACAACCCGCAATTGAACTCATTGTCAGTTCTATTAAGCTCAAGAGTAAAGTATCTTTCACCACGAGCAGAACCAATCGCTACTTGTACACTCGACGCAACATAATTTGTATCATCAAAGTGTAAAGTTTCAGATTTTGTACCCCCGCCATTCCTTCGAAAACTATCCCCAATCCTTATCAGTCTCAAGAGTAAAGTACCTTTCAAAAACTGAAACTGGATACTAAATAATCTGATAGGTCCAATTTGATTCTGCTAATTTGATCCAACCTAATAGAAGTGGTTTTTTCGAAAACAAAGTTTCGTGGGAAAAAAATTTGTTCTTTATTATTTATTCTTTATTATTTATTCTTTTTTATGTTATTTCCCTATATTGTTTTTTACGTTATTTTCTTTCTTCATGCCAAACTTTTTTTTCCGATTGTAGGTAACGATCGATCCGAGGAAATCTTGTATATCTTTTGAAAAGGAGAGAGAAGAAAGCTAATGACTCTTTCGATTAATCTCACGCATCCATCTCACTTTCGCCATACTTTTCTCGAAATTCCGCTGTATTCTCTCCCCATGTCTTTTACTATCTCAATACCCGCTTTTGTGTCCCTGCGATAATTGCGATCGACATTGACGTGGAAATTGAAGAATTAATATGTTGAGAATTGCGAAATTGAAGTGGGAAATTAATTGTATCATTAAGAAACATGATTGTTGATTCTCAATCGGATAGAAATTAATTTTTTTTTTTATATGGCTAAAAACAATGAAACAATTATATTTAACTACACTTGTGTAAAAATGGGAAATTATATAAGTCTAATTAACTAGCTAATTATATTTAAAATACAACAATTTTCAATCTTCTTCGAATTTCGTCCTTTGTTTCCTTTGGTACGTATGGATTTTTTAATGGATCTGCATTAAGTCTGCAAATATGAAAGAGGAAAAGAAAACATAGATTATGTACGTAATATATAACGTCGCGCTTTTTACTATCAGATTTTATATTTAGTAGATTAACAAATTTCTGATAATTAACAAATCATTATTATTATTGTAAAATATTTTTTAACATATTTTATTAATACATATCTTTGTGTGATGAAATTATTTCAAATTGAATATTTTCGAAAGATTTACCTATAAAGCGATGGTGCATTAGCGCAATTAACATTGTACCACCAATCGCATGCAAATTCATGCTGGTTAAAAAGTGTTCCATTGGTGCATAAGAAAGAGGCACCTTGATGTCCTTCACGTCCGTCATGGCAAATGTGATATGCCTATAACAATATCAATTTGATACACAAAATTAAAAACAGCATAATTAGTCTTACAGAAACTTTGATAGATTTAATAACTGTGTTTTCTTTTTTTAGCAATTGTAATTTTGATTTCTATAATACAAATATACAAAAAATTATTCGGTGTAAATTAGTCAAATCAAAAGATAATATAATGTTTCCTGTGTTTTACATAAATATGATAATTAAGAAATTAATGCAAAACACAAATTTGCAAGTTTGGTAAAAATATTGAAAACAACACGAAACGCGGTAGAAAGAAATCAGTCTTAAGGAAATATAAAGGAAGTGAATGACATTCTTGAAAAGGAAAGTTTAACGCTCTGGAAATCAAGTTGCAATGCATGACGGAACATTTCAGTCACGTAACGACATTTATATACATTTATTGCATTTTATTGTTCATGTAGAAATTAGCAATAGCTTATTTGGTCATATTTTTATGACAATCATTGTTTTCAAGTTTAATATAATATATTAAATGCAAATATATCAAAAATAATATAATTTATCAGAAGTGCAAGATACCTTGTTCGAAATGTTAAAGATTGTCGAGCAAAAGTAATATTATATTGAACATATATTCGATACATTGAGAGAGTCTGAGTCAAACTCAATTACGACAACAATTTGCCAAGACTGTTCTCTCGCAGAGTTTGTCTTTCACCAAGACAAGATTGGTCTTTACTCCCGCGTTGCCTTGAAGTTTTAATAATGCCAGTCCGTTCTCTTACATAATAAATCCGCTCTACTTTGTCCGCTCACGCTACGTCGAAATTAGTGAAATGATTTTTCCTTACTTTGCAAGTAACGTTATCAGTTTTATACAGAACACGACATAAAGTGCGCAATACACAATAATCACTTTGTAAATATATCGTTAGAAGTATATACAGTACAAAGAGAAGGGTAGGAGGGAGAGGAGAGATCAATGTGTTGTGATAAATTATCTTCAATATGTATAAAATTTGTTTAATTTATTCTAAATATTATTGTAATGTTTATGAACAGCATATATATTTACATTTTTACAACTCAATTTTATATAGAAAACAAGAGCCAAAAAGGATTTTTAAAGTTTAAAAACAAATGTATTAGAATACGCAATTGACATAGACAAGCTTCATCCCTATACTATTATTACTGAAATAAATATAATTGCTTTATTATTCATTTATTGCTCTTAATATTTCGTTCTTTTGTAAACATTTTTAGAGCAAGAATTATTAAAAACTTTTTAAATAAAGATAT